CAAGAAGTGTTTAAGTTTTGAATCCGTGCGGTTGCTATTAACGTTACGGATGATATAGCCAAAAAAAAAATTACCTGCAAAAACTAGAAGCTCTTCCGTTTACTATATCGGGAAACTTTGCATAATAGAAATTTAATGGCTCTGATTGATTTTTGAAAAAGTCAGGTAATGACTCTGTTGATTTTCTAATAATAGAAGATAATGTCGGAGACGTAGTAAACGATACATAGGTACACTAAAATTGGAGTTTAAAAACACCAGAAGGAAGAACAGAGCGGAAGCTTGCATTTTATTTTCACTTAATTCTCGCAAAGAATGTATTTTAATTCTTTTTGAAATCTGCTTCAGCTGAGTTGCAGATTAATTAATTTTGAGTAAATACTGCAAGGAAACCGGGTTTGTTATAGTTGAATAGAAAACAATTTGAATTTGATTTTTTGGTCTTAAATTTTAGATTTAGACTTAGTGAACTTAATACTGAGAACTAAGTTCCAAGACTATATTTAATTTTTCCATTTGTTTTTTATGAATAGATAAAATATTGTCTAGGAAAAAATTAGTATCATCCTCAAATAAGTGACAACAAATTTAATTTTGGTTAAAATCCGCTCAAAAAGTTTTGAGTGGATTTTTCTGGCGTATATTAAGGTAGACAATTTCAGTGTCTTCTAAACAAAATGTATATAAAAATATCGGTTTCATGCAATAAAAGAGAATTTTTGAGATTCAAGAGTTATCGAAAGTATGTTTGAAATAGTATGTTAAAACGTGTAGGACGTTTAATGATCTTCAGTCCTTTGGTATTGTTTGCACGAATACAAATTGTTTGCTAAAAATTGAATTAATGCTAGACTTTGTAGAAGTCAGTTAAAAGTATTTCTTACATTTCAATGAAAATGTGACTCATCTAGAATCAAATCGTAAACGTTAAGGTACAGGTTTTTTTCTTTAATTCACGAAGAAATAGGAAAATACACCTACATGTTATTTATTTGAATATATTGCCTGAACTAGAAAGGTGGTATATAGTTTTTTTTCCTGTAAAATTAATTAAAATCCCGAAGAAATTCATTTCTGCTGTGGCGTAAAAATGAAAACTCCATTTAAGTTAGTTGATTTTTGAAGTTATAATAAGCTTTACAATTTGAGCAGTGCTTTCAATTCAAAGTTTGTGCTCTATTCAAAAACTTCGTTTCAATCAATTTATTATTGAAAACATTGCAATTAAAAAAAAACAATCTTAGTAGAGAACTGAGTGCCCATCTGACAAAAAAACTATTTTGAGAAAATATAAAAAAATATTTTTTTTCTAACTGTGCATCGCAAAAAAGTCGTTCTTTTGAGAAAATATGTTATCATTAAAATACATTTTGCTTAAAAAAGGACCATTCTCTATACTGGCAAATCATCTATTAAAGTAAAACAAATAACGATATCAAAATTTTATTTATTTTATCAAATTTGGTTTCTCTCCATTTCGGTAAATATCAGCACAGACATTCGGAAATATTCACTTTGCAGTTCGAAGAAGAAAACCACTCGACATAATCGAATCGCAAGTTAATATTGAAAGAAATAGATCAATTTTCAGATACAATCGTTTCAATTTATCAAGTTATTTACATCTCGCAACTAAATTAAATTCTTTTACGATGAAAATAATACATTTTGATTTGCAGTTTAGAAACATGTTTACTATTAGTTCTTGTGAGGGTCGATCGCCTTTATTAATAGCTTCCAAGAATTAAAACCCACACAGTTTTATGCTTACACAGTTTCAAACGTAAACACTTTTATTAAGAGATTTTTTAAAATTGTTATAAAAACTGGATATTTAACGCATTTTTTTAAATAGTTTTTCATATATTCAGTTGCTGCATTATTTGTTTATAAAACATCAGATAATCAATAATTGACGAACAAATTTGATTCCCTCAATACGGTTCTTGGTTTGATTTTCAGAAATGTTTCTTTGGCGAATATTCAACGCACTTATTTTCCTCGCAATTTTAAACTTTAATCAAAAGGACTTCGTTCATGTCGTGCAAATCAAAATTTCGTCACGATTGCCGAGCTGGAAATATTGGGGGAGTTTTTTTAAAACCGTCTTCAAACTTATTTGATTTTTTTTGGTACAGCCCACAACAAGAATTAATAAATAAGAATTAATAATTAATCATTTAACATGGATTTTTCATTTCAAGTTTTTCAAAACGCTTTATAGAATATTTTGCTATATTTTGTGTTTTTGTACTTGTACCAATGTGGAAACTCGCTTACCGAACAAACAAATAAGCATTTGATAGAGAAAGCCACTTTTACTACAAACAATTTCCTTTAGATTTCCGATTTACGTCCTTTCGAGTCCAGTTATTCCACCTTGTCTTCTCACGAAATATATTTTTTGTGATATTTATTGGTACTCGTGATAACACTTATGATTGCTTATTGGACAGAAAATGAACAATCGTAAATCTAAAAGCAAATTTGGAAGCAAACAATTAATATGCAAAAAAGAGCTGCCGACCTGTCTTTAAAAACAGTAGTTATTCCTATCCTACTGTTAGGATTGATAGGAAAACTACTGTTTAGAATTAACCAGTTAAAATAAGAAGGCTATGAATGTCCAAAATATTAATTTTTTGACATGATTATAAATTAAATATACGTAAAATGAATAAGTAGTTGTACAAGTGTAGCTTTGAACCCCAATAAAATACAGATTAATTTTGAACGATTAGTAGTTTGATAGACTTTAAACTACATTAATTTGAAGTAGCTAAAGTTTGCAAAACAGTGAAGAGTCACTGTGCATAAAGGCACCAAATAAACGTTGCTCTTAAATTACAATGAAATCAAACTCCACACCCCAACAAATATCCCGACGAAACGATAATATATCAGCTTTAACTAGTAAATCACATAACTATTTATTGTGACTCTCTGTTATCCAACTGGACATTCACATACCTACATCGTTCGTCAGCCATGGAGCTCAATTACACATTTATGGAATGCTTCATGGAATTTTCATGCATATTTATACGGAATGACATTTTGAACATTGGCCAAATAGAGCCGGGTGATGCATAAATTATAACACACTTTAAACAATATCCCGACTTTATTGCTGGGTCGCGTTAGTGTCAATTTCATTCGGTAAGAGCGAAATTGGGTTTAGACAGGTAATTTTTTCTATCCCATGTGCATCGATAATTAAATAATTAAACTGCTTTTATCCGTAGAAAGTATGAAGGTTTTAAAAGAATCAGTGGAATCATCTAATCATGGCCAGCTAAAGATACATACATAATTTAGTGTGAAAATCAAAACGATTATAACAAAATAATACAAAAGTAAACGATCAGCAAACAAATGGTTTAGTTGCACCATCTACTTATCAAATGTTTATTTTTGTATTCTATTTGGTAAGAGTTGCATACATTTGGCAGATTCAATATTTTTTTATTTTAATTTAAGAACAACAAATGGGACGTTACTAACAAATCGATCGATAATAATTTAAAATTAAACAAACGTATACCAGAAGCGACTACAAGAGTAAAAAAAATTAAAACTCTGCAACAAAAATAAACCTGGATCTTACTTTAAAAGATTATGATTTTTAAATACATCAATGAAATTTAAATTGCTAAGTATTACTATACATAGTTACTTATAAAGCTAATAAATCTCCTCAGAAAAATTTCAGAACTAATTATATTCTTCAAATTATTAAAATTCACTTTTGTTTACCAGGTTTGGATTTCGTTAATTTGTCTCTGTACAATGGTATACATTAAAAAGCTTAGCTCGTAAAATGTATTCCATTTAACATAAGATGTAGTTCTCGTCGGCACTAATATAGTCGGCCAATAAAAATATTTAATTAACTTAATATTAATAATTATTTATGTTTGCTTTTATGTATTTTTCTGATAAGTGAATACATACAAGTATTATTAAGCACGATGTAGCAAATGAGGTTTGGAATTTACAAAAGCCAACTTTTAGCTTACTTAAAAGTCATATTCGTTACTGGATGATTTTAAAATACAGAAATTATTAAAAATAATGTTTGTATTAACCAATTTTCTGGTTTTTAAGATGGATTTGTAGTCGTATGCTCTCCTAAAAAGCAACAAATAAATCGAAACTTTGTAATCAAAATGTTATGAAAATAAAATAATTTATTTTTTCCTTTTGAGAAATCGCCGTAGAAATCTCAATAAAACATTGATAGTTACGATTTCATTTTTTTTTCAGCAGAGAGTAAATAACATCCGATAATACTGTTCGTAGAAATATGTACTTGAATATTAAAGTATTACAATTTTTACCTTCCCCATATTAAGGCATGTTTTAACTCTTACATATAAAATATATTTCAGTCGCTCTGAAAACATAAAAGATGCTCTAATTTCGGATGAAATCGTAGCGAGGCCGGGAAAAAGTCGCCAATCAGTTTTTTCAAAGCGTTTTAAATTAAAGTCGTAAAATGTAGCTGACGTAAAAATGCAATTATTTTAAATGTACATAGCCTTCAAGCCAGCAAATAATATTCTAGTTTTTATCGAGAAAATGTAACGAATTTAATAATAATCATGCAAGGATTATTTTATTTGGGAAAATGTATTCTTCTTTTTCTTCATTTCAGATTCTTCTTTCCAAAAAGACTATTTTCCGCTATCGTTTTTATACGTTATTCGCAGGTACAACTCAAATTATACTGTTTTAAAATAACATTTTTAAAGGGTCCAGTATAGAAGGATTAGTGTGAAATGTGCATTTTCCTTCTAGCATTTTTTTTGTGGGACTTTTGCCAGCCATGTTAATTGTTCCAGATGTAATAAAAGTTTTGCCGTGGACTTACCTGGTAGAAGAATTGATTAAAATTGATTATTACATTTAAATTATTATTTTTATATTTTGGATCATTAAATATGTAAATAGAGGAATACAATAAAGGTTGAGGATTATAAATAATTCTTTGATTTCAGATCGAAGTACGCCCATTCCGAGGGCACCAGACGATGAAGATTCATTTCCGGTTATCTGTGATAGAGACATGCATTCGTTACATCGAAACATCCCCGCACTGCGAAGAAGAGATGTTGATACCAACACTATCAAACAACATTATTATCCTGAAGGTATTTGATGCTCTTACATGACAAGCATGTTAGTTTCTAAGCTTTTTCTGGTCTTCATCAATAAGTTTCATAAACAAATACAATTTAGAGGGATTGACAATAGCAGATTTTATAGTTTTTCAGTACAGACACAAATCAATCTAATTTATTTATGGGAAATCGTATTTCAATTTCACTGTTGTAAAAACATATTTTAGGAAAATTGGTGTTCTATGATCCTTATCCCAACAAAATAATTACTATCGATTCGCTCCTTATGCAGAGCAGATAATGCCGACTTGAAAATTCTGAGCAGGGAGAATATTAGCAGTGAATGTTAACTTAATCTAAAGCAAAATTGCGACATGTTTGCAACATAATGGAAGAAGACATATAAATACATTTTACTTACTTATTTAACGACTACAATTTCTTTATCAGCCCAAGACTGGTATCGGAACTTCTAATTTTAAACCAATAAGAAACTAATTGAAAATTGAAGGAAAGAGATGTTCGTTTCTAGAAGTTAGGTTTGCCGTTTTGAATTCTCCTCACTTCTGGCAAAATTTGAGCATTATTTGGCAACTCTTTTACCTCCATTGGAATATAATTATATTGAGCAGCTCGCATAATTGGATTTTGAAAAACCTTGTTTGTCGTTGCGGTATCTAAGTGAATATTGGAATTATTTTCAATTACAATTTACAGTTATAGCTCAAATAATTATGCATTATTTCATTAATTTGATGACTTTCTTCACCAGCTCTAGTATATATTTTATTAGGTGAAATGCTTAATTGTGAATTTCGTTTGTTGCTATTTTGTAGATTTTTTATGTCCAAAATATCAGATGTTTTGTTGAATTGAATCTGTGCCTCGGATTATAATAGTAAATCTGCTGTTGGGTTTCAGTTTATTACGCAACAATAATTTGAGGTACTCTTTCAAATCCTGGTTCATAAACTGACCGAGTGACTCTGAATTCGATCCCCTGTAACTCAAGTGCTATGTCATCAGCATACACAAAATTGGACCAGATATTGGGTTTTTTTGTAACAGCAGAACATAACTGAATACAAAGCTTTGCGGTTTTTGGCAATTTATTTTTCTTGGCTGGCTACGAATATCCTTTAGTGTCTTCTATTTTAGACCAATTTTTCTTGAACTAAATTGAAATAAATTACACAAATACCCATGTGATTCAGCTGATCAATAAGCACCACAAGATCAATCGCATTAAAGGTTTGTCTTTAATTAATGTTGACTACTTTTTACACATCTATTTTGATGTAATTATTAATGCATAAAGTGTTGCTACTCTGTTCAATTTCCTACTGCAAATATTTCCACATTTGGTTCGTAGTTATGAATCGTTTTTTTCACCTTGTAGACAGGTGTAATCTTAAGAAACACCAGACATATGCCTTATTCAATATATTATAAAGGTATTCAGGATTAACAGCAACTGTTGCTGGATAAGTACCAGATCTGCTGCATCAATGTCATCAACGTCTCAAGCGGAATTTTTGTTTATATTTTGCATCTTCTGATATTTCTGATGATTTGATTCTTCGAGTAGCCACGATACAATTCAATCGCTAGAATTTTTACTTACTTAAGGATATCCAATCCTTTATCACCTTATCTGATATTAATTTAACACCAAAATTTCTCAATATATTTTCCCCTAGCTGAAGCATAAACGTAGGTATAGTTCGTTTTTACTTCATTTTTGTTTGTTTTACATAATTATCTGTTTGGATTTGCTGAAAAATATTTTTGGGTTTCCTACTTAATTATTATTTGCTTAAGATGTTTATTAGTGGAAGGGGTCAGCTTCTATTATCGCAGACAAAATTAAAGATCCGTTTAACATACATGTTCCAGTTATTAAAATTATTATATAAAGTTAAAATCCAGCACAATGGTCATATTTAGAAGCTTATAAAATATTCGTTTCACTTGATTTGCAAATACTTGTGTCAATTGTAGCAAAATGTTTTTTCAATACATATTCAACAGACCCTAACTAGGTGTTGGACAACCAAGCAATTATTCAAATCCTTATTTTACTTTTAGCTTTTGTTTTTACCGTATTTTTTATTCCATTTCCTTACATTATTAGGGACGAGAACATTAATATTTAAACGTCGTTTATAGAAATAAAGTAATAGTTGTTTGTTTGGTTTCAGGTGGTTGGGGTTGGTTGGTATGCGGGGCAGCTTTTTTAGCCCATCTTCTTACTTCAGGAATGCAACTTGCCTTCGGTCTGCTTTATCTGTACACCATCAAATTTCTCGTTAAAACGAAAAGCGATAATGAAAAGGACTTCTATGTTATGGCAACAGGTAAGTTAAAAAAATCAACAGCTTTTATTGCAAAGTTCTGATATTTATAGTTCGTCGTAAGGTGATTTGAAAAAGCCATTCTGATCTGAGCTTTCGGAATTTTCAACAAAAAAACTGTTTACGCCCCAACAAAGTATATAAACTTTGTTGCGCAAAAGTCAAGCGAAGATTTCTGGTAGCAACAGGGGCGAAATTATTAACTCCATTTTGCTAAACTTATCCAAGACTTTATGAAAATCAGAAAGTTGATTGGCTGATCTTGTTAAGATAGCTTCCGAACTAATGCAAGCTTCTGCAGCAAAGTAGGCTAATTTTTGGCTGGTTTACCGCCAATCACAAAATAAAGTTCAACTACGAAAACATCTTCAGTTAGTGAAAGTTCAAATTGTGATTTTGATTGACGAGATACTTTTTCCAAAATGAATTGGAATTTTCTGTTGCCTTCAATCGAAATAAAATGTTATGAAATCCATGTATGTTTGCAAAAAGGTAAATAAATACCGGGAAAGGTGTCAAGATGATTGCAATCAAATTAGCGCATTCGATTTAGTGTGGTAATTAAACTAATGTTCCAATAAATTTGAAAATCTAGGCAATGTGATCGAAGAGATAGTTACGAACGTACCAAATATGTAAAGTGGACTGTTGAAAACATGATGCGGAAAGTATTAATAAATACTCGCGTGAATGTTAATTAAAATATATTAAAAAGTACGTGCTATGTATTTGAAAGCTGTTAATAAATTGCGGCCTTTAGAATCTTTATTATTGAAGGCTCTTAGCACCTCAGGCGGTTCATTCGTTAAGAGGACATATTATGGAAATATTTTAGAGGACATTCCATAAAAGCCGTTTAGAAAGTATACTTTAGAAATAAGCGGGCTCATAAAATGAGGCAAAGGTTGTCATATTTTAATAAGACTTTAGATTATTTGAAATGCGCAATAGTTATGACTTTTACCTTATTCTATATTTTAATTACTCATTTTATACTGAGCAAGTAAAATATATATCATATTACTCTCGTGGAACTTTCAATTTTATTATTTCAATAGACCAAAAGATCATCATCCTTGGGAGACTAAACGAAAATTTATTTCGCAAATACTTTCTAGAACATTTTCCAACTAAATAAAGTGTGAGGAGTGAAGCTACTTTCTCTATTTGAGTGGTTTTAGAATGGCAATATATTGCTGTGAAAAACAATCTTCTTGCAAGTTTAATATTGTATCTTCTTTGCCGAGTAAATAACGTATATTTAAACTGGAAGTCATGACTTGATGTATTTATGGCGAAAAAGTCTGAGACCTACCACACAACCAAATTAAACGCTACTGAAAGTTGGAAGTATTTCAGACCTCTCCTTGGCTTCCCTTTAGAGGTTTTTGCAAAATATTTGTCCTTATCTTGGTACACTGTGGATAATCTTTGGCAGTAATAATGCTATAATTAACAGGTAAATATGTATATTTCTAATACATTTATTGCTCAACGGGATTTGTCATGGTGTATTTTTCTTTTAATTTTAAATGTTTTTCTACTGTCTTCATTAAACTAGTATATGAAATTATCAGCTCTGTGAAATTATTGCACTCAAATTCATTTCTGTGTGTTTGGTTTACAGGTATGCAGATTAAACCGAATGTAGTCTGTTTGAATTCTAATGGCTTAGAAACTTTAATAGAGTTTCCAAACCTTTCATGTTTCACTGACTTTTTATTTGTTAACATAACCCTGTTTGTTGTGTTTCGTATGTAACAAATGAGAAGCGTTAGTTGCATTTATAGATTATTTTTGATACTTTCAATAAATGACATGCAGGTTGATTAAAAATCGGCTGCATGCCTCTAGAGGGGTATTTCGGGACCACCAATAATATATTGATAAAACGTAGTTTGCCCTAAATTCTGGAATATTTACAAAAATTTGAGCAGAAATTTGGTAGCAATGGAGTTGATTATCACCTATAACTAACGTATTTTTGATAAAAATAACAAAATAAATACTTAATGCGTAAATCGACTTAGGTAAAGTTAAAACTTACACTGGTTACTTTAAGTTCACCATTTTAATCAGACGAGCACAACTCATGGCTTCAAATGGCAGTATTTTTCAAATATATCTATATTTCTGTATGTATGTATTTGAATGCGTTCAATCACTGTTCCCATGTGTGCCCCTATTTTATCTCAGAACGGCACATGTTTTCTTCAAAAATCACAAAATCCAGCGAGTAATACACAAAGCGAAATATCCGGTTCCGAAATATTTAAACCGATAAAAACATGTTCTTAAATCTAATATACTTACTTATTCTGTGTTAAATAGTACAATTCCATTCCATTTATACTAAAAATTAATTTAATTGAAATGTGAAAATTCCATTCAAATTAAACAAAAATCTGATTTATTTCTACGCACGTAAAATTCATAAAACAGTGTCACGAATACAAAGCCGTTCCAAAAACAAATTTGTTGAGCTTCATTATCAAATTGTGCATAAATATTTACCCGAAATAACAATCTCATCTGAGATAAAAAATATATTTTAATAACTTAATTAATATTTTAATATTCATTTAAAAAATGTAAAAACCTAAATACATTTTCGTATCTTTCATAGCGCCTAATGTATTAACAATTGTTTTCATTTTAAAACGCCATTTTTTGGCATTAAAATATGCGATTTTGCTTTGATTTGACAGAACTATTACAGGAAACCTATTATAACTTTGATTAATCGAGTTAATATTTCTGCTTACAACCTAAAATCAAATATAAATATAATACAATACAAGATACCACAAAGTAGGCAGGCAAAACTTAAAGAAACTTGATATATTTGATTTTTCTTGGTTTTTAGAAAGTTTATTATTATTAGAACGTTTAGAGAAAATTCAATTTCACGTTACATTTATGATTTCGTAAGTCAATAAACTAGGAAAAGTTTGCAGATGAATTCCGCAAGCAAGATACTCAAGGAAGCCAAAAATTTTTAGTGGGGGTATCTGTTTGTCATATAAAACGACCTAAAACTACAAAGTTTTTTCTCCGAAAAGAACAGATCTATTTGGCTCAGAAGATGTATGGTAATTGTATTATCAACCGAAACAATTTCATTCAAAGCGGCAAAACCTTTTTATTCTATTATCAAAAACGAACACCATTTTGAACTCTGGTTCATATTTTGACCTACGAAATTTTGATTCATTCGGCCCTTAACAGTCACTGCTGGTAAATAAGCGCTGCAGTTCTGCAGAATTAAAGAACTTCAAAAAATACAATTTTGTATTCTTATTAAAGTAGTTATTTTTGCTAAAAACCAATATGAGTGGACGTTTTGTTGTATTTAATCCAGCGCAAATTCGCGCATTCTTGAGTATTAGATTAGTATCTGTTGTATGTCTGGTTTTTAATTCAGCGCCTTGTATATTCAATTTGAAGCCAATTTAATTCCAAATACAGGGGAGTCATAATTAGGTGTACAATACTTTGTTTCAAAACTATTTAAAAAAAAACTTAATTTTATTAATATATGTATTTTAATATGGACAAATTAATATATTTGAATACGAATGGAAACACCAATATAGAGCATTTTGCAAATTTACATAAATGTTAGGTTTATCTTAGTTTTACGTTTAATTTATTTATACTAAATAATATTTTGTGTAAATAATTCGATTTTTTTTTATCGAAAGCGGAGTGTCGACCACAAGTGTTGTCAAGAGATCATTTTTCTGCTAAGTAAATTGAAAAATAACACACAATTTTTCGGTTTAAATAAACTATGTGTGCCAATTTTTCCTTTGAAAATATCTAGACACATTTCCGAAGGAAAGCCACTCTCAGAATTAAATTATTGTTTATACATAAGAAAACGTACCAGAGTTATCTGTCCTGGTGTACAAAATTTAATTCTAATTTCTCTCTGTCGAATCACACCGCCTCTCAGAAATTCAATCACCAAGGATCGTTTAGCAGTGCATACATGTTTTCTGTTTTAAAAAGATTTATTTTTGAAACAAGCAAATTTTTATGAACATTTTCAGAAAGAAAAAACGACCCTTACCAGTAAAATTACTTTTACTTTACTTTACCATTGGTAAAATTCTTACCAGGGACCGTGACTGAGTCTGAGTATGTGTAGCTAAGTGAATTATATTGTCATTTTTCTAGTGATTCCTTAGGTATAAAGCATGCATCACAATCAACATATATAAGAATTATATAGCATTTATAAAAATTAGCGGCAGCTTAAATAAATAAAATGGTTCCTCAGCCATTTCAATTCAGTTTCCTCAGCCCTAAAATTCGAAGAAGCTATAAAACAAACAATTTGGGTCATTGCGGTTATTCGGAAGAGCCACAAATGGCCTAATAACTTTACTAACGGTGGCCGAATCCAAGATACGAGCAGGGAATATGAATGGCCACCGATTTATATCCGAAAGTTGAACTAAAGGCCAAAGATTCTATCGTCAGGTATTACGTTATTTATCTTCTTCATATCACATGACGCATGGCAGCCAGTTAATTTTTCTATGGAAGATGTTTACTCATATAGAGGCCAAAGTTTACCAGGCTCTCACGCTTTCAATGCCCAAATGATGAAAAATGTTTGTAATCTGATTTAATTGTTAAGTTTTATGGAAATATTTCGTGGCCCTTAAAAAATTAGTTTTTTACATCATAAAAGGTGTTTCACTTTTTTCTACTTTTCAACTGGAAAGTGACAAATATAAATTTGAACAATAATTTTAGGACTAATAATTTCTTCTCCTATTTTTTCAGTATTATTTTTTAATTCATATTTTTAGTTAAAACCGCTCCTTCAAGTTGTTTTTGCATTCAAAGATGTTCCGTTTTCAACTAAAATCAATTTACAATTGCACAAATTCAAGTATTTTGCAAGTTGACTAAGACTTACTCTCAGATCGATATTTTAGCGGAAACAGTGATTTTTGAGCTGTTCGTTGAAATAGTGAGTTTTCAATAATACGTGGATGTTTGTCAAGGGAAAAATATTCTGAAACTTTGAAAAATGGGGAAAACAACTTAAGCCAAAAATTTTAAAAAGCAAAAGTAAGAAACGTTTGATAACCATTTTGCAATTAACGAATAATATTTCGGCCTAAAACATGTTTAAGTAGAAAGTTTCTAAGCGTCCAAAGAAGGACAAATGTTAAAGAAGCACTAATAAACCCGAACGTAAATGTTTCTTTTATTATAAATAATTAAAATATTTTGTTAAATGATAGTCATTCAAGTTCACGTAAGTTTAATGAATGTTTTCCTTGAATGATGCGTCGACGTGTCGAGTCAAAAGGACCTTTTCTATTGTGCGAAAGGAAAACAAATTGCAAAATTGGGTTAAAAAAATTACATAAAATAACCCAATTTTAAATAATGATTGCTTCAAGAGGAATTTAGTGTTGGTTTAGAGGAACTGAAATTGAAAATATCTCTCCGGATAGAACCGCAGCTTCTTAGAGTTATTTGTTCGTTTGTTTCGAGCTCTTTTTCTGTTGTACTCCAAAAGTACTGACATGACTTGAAACAACGTGTGAAGTACCGAAGAAATAAACTTACTTTTCAACCATTTTGTGTCGAACAATCATATCATTTTTATGTGCATTTATTAAAATAAGTTACGTTAGGAATGTTGACTATTATCATAAATAACTCATATCGTGTCAAATTGGTCATAATTTGAATGGTTTTCTCGTGTTTAGAAGCCAAAATATTATATACGACATTTTCAAATAAATCTAATAAATGCGGAAAAAAGAATTGGTGATTCTTATACATTAATTTGGGTAAGTTGTCACCATTTTTGAGTAAAAATTCCGCCTCACGTGGAATTTCACCCGAATGTTTTGTTTTGCACAGTTTGTTCTTTCCCTAGAAAGCGATTTTTAATAAAAACATTTAAAAAGGCGAGACAAATTGCATTGATTTTTTAAACGCGAATAAACGAACGACAAAGTAAAATAGAACTTTTGCCTGCAAAGCCATAACTCACGAAACATGAATCGAGTTCTGCAGGATAAAAAAAACATATTTCCAAGGGTAAAATTACTTTGAAAGCATGAACGAAATGCCCTCAACTTACTTAAAGAATCCATGGCGAACATTTCTTGCACTGATTTCTGGATCCTCTGAAGATTTACTCTTATTAACCTTTAGCTGTACCTCTTCTGAATTCAACATTTGAGCCTAACCGCATCTTTATTGGTTTCCTGTCCAATAAATTTGAACACACGTTCATTTCGCATCAAGTTAGAAAGTTCAGGATTTCGAGCTTTTCACCAGCCAGTTCCATAACATTTAAGATTACATCTAGTATCCGTAGTGTCAGTGAAATCCGTATGCCCTCGAAATGGCCAATATTACAAGTCTCCAACTTTAAACCTAAGTTGCACTCGGGCGAGAATTTGTAAAGTTCAGACAGTTGCAAGACCTGCAATGGATCCAAATCGGATAGAACAGAATGGTTATTAAATTTAGTGAAAATCTATTCGAAATTGTAACTAAATTGTTTTGCTCGTCAGGTCTTCAAAATTCAATAGTTATTTATCTTCACACGCCCAGATTTCCTAAATATCCATTTTAGTACACGAAGGCGAACTTAGCTATTATATAATCTAAATATAGCTTAAGATGTTTCACCGAATAAATTGTATAATAAGAAGCCACAAGCTGTTTCGCATTGTTATTATCAATACGAGCCGTTTGACGAATTAGTTTAAAATAATGAAACTATATATCGGAAGAAAAAAGCCATTTTATTGTTGATTTTTGAGGGTTCACAAAAATTTCAAGTACTAGTAATAACTGCTGCCACTCGGTATGCTTCTATTGGTCAAATTATCCTCATTCAAGTCGAACTTTGCCTCAACATAGTGATTAAAACTATCCAAACTTAGATGGCTTAGTTCCTCTTTACTTTTGCGGATGTTTAGGTGTATCTTTTTGTACTCTTCTGTTTTGAGTTCGTGAATTTCCTCACACGCTGTTTTCCATTGTTCCTTAAAGAATTTTTTCGCTTTTTGTGTTTCCTCAAAGCCTCGTTCCAATCCTTTCAGTTCTTGCAGCAGATTCGCCGTCTGCTCTTTAGTGAGGGTGGTTTTTTCGAAACATTGCAACTTTTCCCTCTGATCGGCTACGAGTTTTCGTAGATATTCGTTGTCTCTCTGTGTTTTGCTAAGAACTTCTATAATGTCTTTCGGATCGGACTCTCTATAGTTCTGCCAGTTTTCATTGAAAATTTCCTCAAATATATTCGCCTGCGTCTTGCTCCTTATCAAATACTTATCTGTTTTCATGTTGTTAAGTTTCAGCTGCAGCTCTTGCTGTAGAGCTTGGCATTTGTTCATTTGACCTTCGAGCTTCTGTTCCATTTCATTCTTCTTTTCCTTCCACATGTTTTCCATTCTCTCGCTTTCACTTTGCTTGAAAACCTCTAGCTCTTTTTCAAATATTTCTCTTTGGGTCTTTTTCCAACGTTCAATGTCGGCCAGTTCCATCACACTGAGGAGTTCGTCTACTATTGGTGGTGTTAAGTGAAAATCGGTGTCTTCAGCAAAGTCGCCAATCTCACAATTTTCCAAATTCAAAATCACTTGCATTCGGGCTAGAGGTTGCAAAGTGCGCACAGCTTTAAGATCTGCAACGTATCTAAACGAAAAATATGCTATTAAAAATAGAAGCATGAGCATGAGTTTGTACGTTGAGCATGATTAGAAGAAAGTACGTCTTTTATTATAAAAAATGTCACTGCTAATAATTTAATTTTACTATTCTTAACTTAAGGCTTATTGATTGGTTGATATGCTGACGGAAAGTATTCTGGTTTCGTAAATGTTTGCTACCTGTAATGGCGGTATTCATCGCAAAAGAACTTGGAAGCATCGAATTCATACTCTTCGCTCAACAACTTTTCTTTTTCATCGGTTAAAACCAACTTTGGAGGCCAGGCGTTCAAGATATTCTCAATCTGCTGAACTGTCGAAACGTAGCTGACTTTGATTCCAATGTTTTTAAGATCTGCAATTTCCCCGACCTAAAAAAATGTTTCATATGAAAAAATGCCAGGTCAGTTTGATTTCCTGTTTGCCGAATTTAATTTGTAATGTCCTCCATTGATTGACAGAAGTAAAGTAAGATCAGAGGGTTCTGGGTTTATCAGTAAAAAGTGTTTTGGTTAAGAACTGAAAAAAGGTTTAAAAATTAAAAATGAAGATTAATTTAAAATAAAAAAGTAGTTTTTCCAAGAAGACCTTATATTATTATATTCTTTTCCTGGTAAAACTAAAGGTTTAAAATTAATCCAATCACAATAACTCGATTTGATTAAAAGCATGAGACTTTGAGTTTGCAAATTATGGACTGCTTTTCCGAGTTTGAACTTTTTGATATGTCGTTTTTCCGCTGTACGACTTTAATCGTAAATTTCTCGAAAATGACTTCAGATAACGAAGTTGGTAAAGGATAACTTTTTACATCAAAATGTGCTGCACTACATATATCTAGTTAACACATTTGTTAATTTTCAGTTTAGGTAACAAATGAACTGAGCCCTTATTTAGTAACAAGCTTTGTGTATTTTAAACGGTTTAAAGAACTTGTACAAAAACTTTGGATAAAAACTTGTCAGTTTAAAGCGGTTGAATCAGAAAGCTAAATGTGGGCTTTTTATACATACTAGATGCTCATAATTAGGTTTAAAAAATACTTGCAACAATTGATGTAACATTCAAATTAAATTGTTGATTTTCGATTAACCAAAAAAAATCGTTTACTATGAGCTGATATGTTTTATGATGTAAATTTTGTGTTGTCAGCTGAATTGGGATCAAATGAGCTAAATGTAATAGTAGTACTTAGTTTTTTGTGTCCTTAAAACAAGAGAAAATTAATATATTTTTGCTGGAATTGTAAAATGGGGAGGTTTAAATGTAGTTTGGATTTTCAAAGTTGGTTTTTAGAAAAAGAGCGTTAAATTCAAACACTTTTTTGAAAGCAGGTATTTCTGGTCTTTTGCTCGGAAAAAAAAAATTTTTGTATGATTTACACAACTCAATATTAATTATTTCGCTATGTATAACTTTAATATTTCTTCTTGCAAGATTATTGCAAAACATTGTTTTTCTTGCAAGTTACTAATCTGTGCAAGTACTTGCTAGGGTACATTGTTAAAAACATATATTTGATTATTGATTTAGAATCATCTCAATTCAACAATATACCGGTTCGCATATCAACATCCATTAAACAGCTTTCAACATAACTCGCTTAATTGGCTTTAGAAACGATAATTAAATAACCCGTAATAAATAACGGTTGCTTTTGCCATAATAAAATTATTTGTTATATAAGAATTTACAAAATGGTCTTGTTGTAAATACAGACGTAAACAGTATTCAGTTGTTTGAGATTCCAAAAAAGTAAGAACATTCTCTGTTTGATTGGTATTGCTTTCTTACTGATTTTTCAACATCAGCAATTGCATTTTTGAAAAATAGTCACAAAATTTGCTTTTTAGAGTGCAAATATAAGATTTTCCACGTGATTAGTACATTTTTTCTTCAAGCCTTTTTCATGAACAATTTTCTCCAGTGTTTTGTGATAGCTAAGCAGGCACATCTAGCAGGGTCCAAGTCTCTATATAATCTTATATTTTGTTATCATTAGCCTTTACTATTTTATTAAACCTTTTTAAATTTGATTTTAGAATGTTTTTTTAAATTTAATTTAGTTTATTTTGTAATTGTTGAATAGCGAATGTCTATTTTAAACTGCGCTAAAGCCAAACTTTAGAAATTGCTAAACTGACAAGCTCTGCAACCATTCGAACTTTTTTTATTGCTATAAAATCTAAAAAATCGTACAAAAATTATCGGATTTAAAAAACCGATATAATGATTGTTCAAAATATTCATTATTAAATAAATAAACGTAGCCAATTAGGATATGCTATTGAAAATAAAAGAACTCTATAATTAGAAGGGCATGAATCCCAGAAGTTTAACAGCAAAGACAGAAATACGCTGAAAAGATAAAAATTGAAAGAGTTAGAAGGTATGCAACTGTGAGGAAGAATCGAGAAGTTAAACGAACTATGACATAAATGCTTGAGAATTATAACTGATCATTTGCAAGACAATCCTGTATGTTTCTTGAATAGTTAAGTGAATTGCCAAAGAAGCTAAAGCTGAATATAAAAATACTCACCTGGTTGGTAAGTTGAGTAAAAATAGTGATATAGTTTGAGGCGCGCGGATGTAGAAATTTAAAAATCACAATTTTCTCCTTAGGTGGCGTCCTCCACACTAAATTCTGGAGAGTAACTTCCAACACGTATTTCACATAAGTGCCCCTGACATCGTACTTTTTTGTCTGTCGCGGTGATAAAGCCACATTTTTTATCACCGTTTCTGCCGATTTTGTGATCACCAAACTGTCGCTATGGGCATTCAAAACGCTGCACTCGCTTTTGGATTTCACATGAACCTTTTCGAGCTTATCCAAAATACAGGCCTTCAATTGATCGCCAAAACCCTGAATAGCCAGGGGTTTTTCCAGGTTGGAGCGAACCACTTTAGTGGGCGCTTTGTCCTGTGGGGCCAATCTAAATCTACAACAACCGACCACATCAATAGTAACTAATCCTTTCTATCTACAAAGGAAGTTTACCTAGATTCTGTGCTGGTTTTGAGCCATTTGGTTACTTCAAGGTAGGGTGAAACATCTTCATCACCTCCAAAGGGAACCAGACTATTTGGTGCTGGTAGTTCGAAGAAGTACCTTCCGATGTCCTCGTCAAAGGAAATCGACCCCAGCCGTACCTCCGTTGTCCCCAAAAGCTCATGCCCATTGAATAACGTAATTTCAATGTGTTGCTCTTTCAAAAACTCAAAAAGGGTTTCCTGATTTGCCAGCATTCTAACTAGAAATTACATATGAGTTCTGGATACGAGTTTATGACTCACTCCATGATATCTCTGGAGGAACCACTTCCAGGATATCCCAGGAGTTTTTAGTATATCTTGCGCCAGATTGTATTATTGCAAATTTCGATTTCTGGGATTTGAACTTGACAAATCAACTCGTTCGTTTGAAAATTTCAGCAAAAGCTTCGGATTTTTGGAGATGAAAGTTTTTAGGTTTATTAAAAAGACGAAAAGGGACACTAGGAATAAGACCAGTATAGACACTATTCGCTACAGGAAATACGGAACAATTTTCAAAACGATCTAAAGGAGTACAAATATACAGTGTGCTCCATAAATCGACCTAGCAAAGTTTTAGGATTGGTAGTGGATATCGAAATAACGATGTTTTGAATTATTAACACACTTACGTCGAAATACCGAGCCATTTTGGAGACTTTGGAGGTTATTAATCTGCCGAATTAATAAAGAGCAAAATAGCAAAACTGTTTAAAAATACCAAAGAACTGTTTAAAAGATTTCTGAACGTAGAAAAAATAACTCCCAGCTGGAAAGCATGGATAAAACCAATCCTCAAAAAGGAAGGAAAAGATGTATGCTCGAACTATAGACGTATGCATATCAGTTACGAGTACCTTAAGTCGAATAATCAAATGTTTAATATAAAAAAATACATTGTTCAAAACTGTCAACATAAAGAGAAAAATTGAAAGTCGAATCAAAAAGTGAACAAAGTAATAAGAAGGAAGATGGAAGGAAGATAAAATTCGAAGCATTTTTTCAGGACGTATTATTTCCATTTACAAGAGACTCAGAAAACCGAAAAAAGGGGAGAAACAGAAAATAGAAATTTTCTAAAATAAAAAATAAATGTAGCATTATTTTGAGACAAGACAATTCGAGTTAAAGGTGAGAGATAAGAGAATAAAAGTTACATATTATTTTACTGCTGTGATTTGAGACATATTTTGGCAGAAAGTACTTCGATTTTCGTTCTTTTCTGAATGCTGGACTATTTGCACGAACGTGCCTTATGAAAAGAAGGCATAATAATTAGCTTAATCTTGCAGTCAAAATAAAAAAAAACATTTGTTAATGTCTCTATGCAGCTCCCTGGGACACGTGTAGCTTTAAATCAAAACCATACTACTTACCGACGACTTTCTCATTTAAAGCAAAAGTATCATGAAAGTTCTGATAGAATGGCTTGGTCTTTATAACGACTCCGAATATCTTAAAAGTCATGTGAAACTTCTCATTCGTGTTCCTAGAAACACGTCAAATTACATTTTTCCCTATGTTTTATCCTGTTGAGATACTTACCGAAAAACTAGGGCTTCTGGAAGTAAAGAATCTAAATTTTTCGCCTGTCTAACTAGGATATTCAGTGAGAAACATTCGTAGTCCTCATCGTCTCCTATATGTATGTACCCATCGTCCAAGTACCTTAGCGGGAACGCGGAAGAACATTCGGTCGATTCATTAGCAACATTTTGTTCCTCTTCTAATATTAATGGGTCGTTCATTGGAGGGGGTTTTTCAGTATCATTTAGCAGATGGTCGCGGATTGATAGGGCTAAGTAAAGTTCAGGGTGGTACTTCTTTTTGTCTGTTTGGCATCCTATTAATTTATGCCTAAAAATGTGCAATCCAAACGCTAAAGATACACTATGATTCAAAGCTACTTTTACCTATTCAGACATGGATGGATTAATGTAGAAAAATGTGAGTAAAAGAGATTGGGAGAAATGCTCACATTGACCGAATGTGTTGCAAAAATTATCAAACGGTTGGAAGATTCGTGATAGCTTTTTTAGGTGGGTAATTTGGGTGATTTAAAGATGCGTGCTTCGCCTGCAGCTAAATTTGAGCTATAAAATATTTTACTTTCAAAATTTTTTTCTCAATCTGGTGCAATGCATGGACTCCACTTCTGTAAAAGTTCGATCAGAGGCAAAATTTGCTGCATGAGTTTAAATGTTTTAAGCGAAAGTTAGCATACTGTAACATTTTTTATATCTTGCAGCATAATTTTGCCGGACTTCAAATTCAGTGTTAGGATTTCGTAGGTGCAATTGCAGTTAATTTTCTCTCCTAAATATAGGGAGTTTCTACGGCAGTTGTGATGAAATTGATGATTAGATGAAACTCGGATTTCAATGTGGCATATTGTGTGAAAATCCACTAAAGCTGTAGACTTTACCGACTTTTTTATTATTAAATCTATTGAGGATGAAAAGGCTTGAATGTGGTTTTTGCTCAATTTCACGTGGCAGAACAAGGTAACATTTTTCTTAATGGGACATCCGCTATCTATTGAATATTTCTTGAAGCTACTCTTGTACCTGCGCCGGATTTTTGCAAAACCAAATGTTGTTCACATTCTTAAGTCTACGGTAAGACGGTAATTCTTTAGCTAACTTGTAGTTCATGTGGAGCAAAACATTATATTAGCGAGCTATTAAAGCGACAAAGGCCGTCCAATTCAATCTGCAGCCAATTTTCTTAAAGTCCATAGTGAAAGTTAAACCACAATCGAGACATAAAATTGCCAACTCCAGAAGAGTTTCGAGACTCACAAGTACTACTTCATAGAAAAAGGGCTTGATTTTATTTTGTTGTTTGAATCTAGTTAAGAATATAATTTATGCGAAATAACCCATTCAGGGCGATTTTTAAATTTGAATTACGTAAACTCAAATATATCAAGAATTAAATTATCGATACGATAATCTTTAGTAGGTATGCCTTTCATAATTAATTCAGCTGCGACAGCTTTACTTCTAATTGAATGTTATGATAATTATTTGAAAACTCCCTATCAACTTTCCGAAATTCCATTCGGAGATTAGTACGAATCGACATATTCATAATCATAAATTCGCCGCTGGTCTTCATCCAATCTCTCCCAAGCGTGTCCCAAAAATCCACATTCATTTTTTCTTAGGCCATAAATGCGTTATTTCTCACCTTTTACCTCACTTTAACCAGACTTTTTTTATAGGTAGTTTCTAAGTTAGAACTAGTCCAAGTTGCTACCTCTGCCTTTTTTAATGTGTCCTTAATCCTAACCTCTGCAGAATTTCGCTATGAAGATCATTTTTTATTCCCAGCTTCTGTATGATCATTAGTTTGAAAGTCCAAGCATTTTCTCTTCAAAAGCTACCTCTGCCTTTTTTAATGTGTCCTTAATCCTAACCTCTGCAGAATTTCGCTATGAAGATCATTTTTTATTCCCAGTTTCTGTATGATCATTAGTTTGAAAGTCCAAGCATTTTCTCTTCAAAAGCTGTATCATTAGGGTCAGTTTTCCTTGAAGTTTCTTGGATAGCAGCTTGAAGTGTTTGGATATTCATGTTCAGTACATTTTCTTGGCAATAGAGATTAAATACCATCGTAATAAAATTTCGCATTATTCCTCTAGCTAATTTTTTCTAGAGTCCACAGAGTCCCACGATCATTCAAACATAAAATCTTCCAAAAAATATGTTCAGTCCTTGGAGAGTTGAGAGTCCTAAAAGCACTTCTAATCCAATCGGAGAAATTTCTAACTTTGAGTTGAGTAAATTCAAATGTAACCCTAATCAAATCAACCAGCTTCAAACAAATAAGTCTTCGCGTTAGAATGCCTTTCGCGATCAATTCAGCTGCACTTACCACTTGTAATTAACAACAGCTTGCGCATCTTTGAGCGGAATAATTTGAGCGCTTCGCAAGCTGAGCAAAGCGAACCCAATCCGATCTTGACGATTTTGAGGATCTGTCGATAGACACTCAACTCGCAAAGGCTGATTGGCGCTCCTCACTTTACGTAAATCTTTCTTGTCCTCTTCCCATACGAGCTCAGCACCGAACGTTGCTGGATCGTCTGGTGACATTTTGTCTGATTCTGGTATTTAAGACTCATAATAGAAATTATGGAAGTTATCACAAGACGCTCAAACCTAAGATTCGTCCGCTGTAATTTGCTACAACATGAATGGGATGTCGGACAAACTCCATACCTCGTCCATCTTGCACCGAAAGTACTACGTTAACGTATTTCCCACTTAGCTGATTCATCGAAATAAAAAATGGTTTAAAAGATTGTTGTAAAAAACTTGATAAAAGATGTTAAACAGCAAAATGTCTATGCGACACCAACCGTCATTTAGTTGATGAAAGTTCACCGGTTTGTATTTACTCGTACCTTTTATTGTTAAATAATGACGAAACATATTGATCAGAATCAACATCCAAACTCTGGAAAATATACAGCGTAATTTAAGGTCCAAGTGATTTTGCTAGAGGAGGAGTCCTAACAAAACATAGGAGCAGGCATTTAATTGAAAATTTCAAGTTTTAATCTAAAATATTTAGAGAGGGCTTAAAAAACAATGTTACTTTGGAGCCTGCAAAAATAAAAACTTTTATTTAAAATGTAACTGGTTTTTAACGAAATAAAATGTCTAACATGTTTTGAGCAAAAAAGTACGTTTTATATATTTTTCTTAGATGAAATATGATGTTTGAAAGTGTGGAAGTACAGAGATGCTTCAGGCGACAAAATATATAGAATCTAAGTTCTCATTTTAATTTAGTGATAGAACTTACCACAAGGAAGATAAATATATTTTTTCAATTAAAGTTTTAATAATTTTCTTTGATTACTTTGCTGTAGAAAAGATGCTGAATTCGAATCGATATCGATAGCAATGTGTAAAGATACCTATATTAATAATAAAGATATAATTTAATTTAGAAACAATTTATGTATATAATACAATACATATGCAAGTGATATAACCTGTAGTTTCAAACAAAGTAGAAATATTGTTTTTTAATGCTTTTGAAATTTAGGGGCATTTATTATAAGTATTATAAAATAGGTATATAAAAATAATATTCAAACACGCATCATTCTATGCACACTATAGATTGCAACCCAAAAAAATTATATTATTTTTATAATTTTGTCGATATTGACTCATTCTCGCCCCGTTATCAGCATTCACCCGAATCAGTTAAAAATAATTCAAAACGTAAAATTGCTTATTAGATGGATAATCAAGCAAATTTGTAACTTTTAGTTGCTTTTTTATTTGAATAGAATACATAGAAAAATATTATAAAATACATAACTAATTATATTGACAATTTTAATACTAAACTTGTCTCGATGGAATGTTTAATAATTATTTATTGTTATTACGGAGTGTTTTCACGTCTCTCAATAGATTCCAACATGGTTAATAAACCTTCAGAAAAGCTTACTAAGAACAGTGTAAAATATCAGAAAGTTTCTTAATTTTTCAAGAAATAGAACGCCACCTTATACATCCAGAAATAAAAGTATTTTCCCATACTAAGCAGTTGCTATTATTAAAAAACTTCCTCAAGACTATAAAGGGTGTAAATTGTAAATTGGTTCTTCCTGATAACAGAGTATATAATAAACATACACATTAACAGTGCATTTGTGCTTGATTGGTATGTCGTTGTTTCCATTTACTTTTATTCAATGCTTTTAATGTTAATTTATCTTTTAAACGATGCTTATTTTGAAAAAATAATAGTTTCTTCTCCCATATTAATTATTGATATTTTAGCGAGAAAGTTAAAATTAATTTAAATGCAATTTTCATATGGGTATGTCCAAAGACATTAATCTGAGTGTATCCTAATCTTCTTAACAAAATTTTCTTAATTTCACCGAGAATTAATAAAAATAATTCTATGATTAAGAATGTGTATAAAGGATTGAAGATGCTTTAGCTAGAGGAACATTTTTTAACTCTCCTACTCGTCTAAAACTGAAATATTTGAAAAATACCGATTTTAATTGAGGTAACAGCTCCTTTTTTTATACCTACTTTAGAAAATTGTTCTTAATTATTTGACATGTATTTGGCTTGGATTCATAAGTAAATCCACCATCAAGAATTTACAAAAATAAGTTAATTTGTTTAGTATGGAGTAACAGTAAAAATAAATGTTGCTGATGAAAGTAATCAATTTGAATAGAGTTTTCGTATTTTGAACATGTACATGGGCAACAATATGAATAACTGTATTAATTGCACGCATCTATTGTATGCGTTTTCACATTTATCCACAATTTCTGCATCTTGAATTATGTAAAATTTTTATATTTATCATCCTTTCTCATTGTTTCTGTGCGATATTGAGGGTCAGATTGAGTGCAGTTAATTAGTTTTGAAACGTGGTTGGAGCAACTATTTAGAGTATCGCATCGCGGGTCAAATCTATTTCCAATTTTAAGCAAAATTTGTCAATCAACATTTGTCTGGCAACCGTTAAGCACTTTTAGAACAATTCGTAAGAACAAGGTTCAATATGGATTAATGTCTTGCATAAGTAGACAAGAACATTTTGTACATTAACTGAATATATAGAAAACGCTATTCACACTTTGTAGTTAGAAAAGAACCTTCACAAAACGACGAAGAAATAACTAGTCGTTAAAATGACTTAATAATATTAATAAAGTAAGTTATTTCCAGCCTGGCTTGGAGCTTTGTGTTTGTGTGTTTCATTCACAACATCACCCCTTATCGTGGCAGTTTGCAGAAGAAAATCGACACGACTTGCATCCGTTATCGGAGGTTTAGTAATGGCTCTGGCTTGTTTGTTCACATCGTTTGCCGTCAAGTTTCATCAAGCCTTACTGAGTTACGGTTTAGTTCTTGGTAAGTTTGCGAACTTGAAACTGTGTTTAAGTTGGGAACTTCCATATAGAAACAGGGGTCATAACAAATTATTATTAACTTATTCAGCACCTAATAAACATTTGCTTCCACCGACTAATTAATCAGATACAGTGCTTTGGAGCTGCTTTTATATCAAGTGGAGTATAAATAGTTCGGCATGTCAAAGTATGAAAAAATTTCGTATTTCTGGGTCACTTTCATGCTTTGTCTGTGGTATTGCTATATATTTTTTTGCTAAGATTTGAGTGTGATCATACGTGGAAAATTATAAAGGTATTTCAAAAATAATCCATCCAAAATAATAGCGTGCTTGTGCAGAATATAAACAGTCAATAAGGACGTAGAAAGAATGAGCAAACCAAGAAAAGATGGACATTTTCGATAATTTATTTTAATTGCAATATTTTTATGTATTTGGTCCAATTCGTTACATGCAGATGACATTAATTAATAATGCTCTTAATTTGTTAATTGATTGGAGAGTTTAAAAATAGTTTTAGAATTTGTTAACTATTCCTAAAACTCAAGTGGTTTCGAAAATATTATCTAACTTCTAAAGTTTCACCATTTGCTGTTTTCGTGGAATAACATGTTTCGTTTTTAACCAAGCCATAATATATAAAATAAACTACGATCCATTTTCAAAGTACTAACAACAATCAACCCTTAAATATTTACATATCATTAATGAATACTTTGGTACCTGCTACAAAACTATCAGCTGCTTTAAAATCTGGATCGTTTCCTGGATAATATAAGATTAGTGTTGTTTTGTAGATACTTAACAGGAAAAATTTATTCCCAAGATGTCCACTTCAAACTGCTCTAGCTTGCCTAGCAAGCATTTTGAAAAAAGGTAATTTTCGTTCAATTGACATAAAAGCACCTCTGGAACGTGTGATTACAATTACTCAGGAGAATTTTTGTATCCGTGTAAATAATTTCTATCGAGTAATATCCATACATAATTGAACAAATAAAACAGGATTAGGTGCAGGAATCGTAAGGGAAACTTCCACCATTGTTCTGGGTCACTACTTTAAGAGGAGAAGAGAATTTGTGGAGATGGTTGCACAAGCTGGAACGGGAGTTGGAATAGCTCTATTTTCCGTACTGTACAAGGAAGGTATTGGGTAAGTTTTTTGTAACTTCAAAAATTATTGATTTAATAAAGGAATTAAAGATTGAGATGAAATACACTACACTAAGATAAGATTCTGTAATTATTGCTTTTTCCAGCAATAAATATTAAATTTGTTTGTTTTTCATTGATTTTCAAGATTTTTTCTTAGTTTTTTGGGTCATTATGACAGGTCTTAACTCTTAGACAAACTTGCCTGGTTTATTTTGCAGCGAGCCCCAGTTTTATCACTAAAATTCGCTTATTTCTTACTTCATACTCTAGAACTTACTTTCATAAATCGTTTCGAAGTTCGACATTACTTAAATGAGGAAAGTTGCAATCAAAAGCTAAGAAAAGTACAAAACAGCAAATGTTCCACAAAGATTTTGGAATGAAAACAATCAATAAGAAACCATTTAAAGTTGCTAAATTGTTCAATAAGATATTTAAATAATAATATAAAAACTGGACGGATTTATATCATTACGAAATGAAATTAGACGATAAATAAGAAAGCAATTATACAGCGTCATTCACAATCTTATGGACACAGAGCAGAGGCGTGTAGAGGACCTCAAAAGATGTCGAGCTTCTATTTAAGTTTTTTTTTCAGGCCCATGTATAACGAGATACAGGGTGTTAAAGTTTCCAAAAATGTTGGTATTTCCTATCTATTCTATTAAATTAAATAAAAAAAAAAATTAAGTTAACTCGTTAGCCATCCCTATTTTAACTTCAACTTGCACTTAAATCTTTCACAAAACATGTGATCAAAAGAACATAAAAAAAATTCATAGAAAATCACTCAGAAACTCTACATGGACTTGTGTTTGTACAAATTACTAGAAAACGAAGGCAGATACGAAAGAACTGCAAGAGATAAATAAATTCTTAAATTGAACAAAAAATTTAAAAAATTTGTCAGTGGAAGTCAGTGGCGTACTACAAAAAAGTTCTGGCGGGTAAGAGGGGGTATGCCCCTAGTAAAGAGAGCACCCTGTAGATTTTCACAACCAGTTGGATAACCTACGGGTAAAGGGTCTAAACAATAGCCTACGTTAAAAATTTGAGTAAAATCTCGCATAAACTGTAGGAGTTGAACAGAAAATACCAATTTTTTTTTACTTTAACACCCTGTATCTCGTTAACCATGGGCCTGAGAAAAAACTAAAATGGAAACTCGACTTGTTTTAAGGTCCTCTACATGCCCCTGCTCTGTGTTCATAAGGTTGTGAATCACCCTGTATTTACTAAAAGAAAAAAAAATTATAATCTCTAAAAAAATGATCATGCGAATTCACAGATTACGAAGTCAAAACCGCTAAAGCAAAACCTCATAAATAAGTTTAAAAAATACTCAAAATAATCATTCCGTATTAAGACTATTTAAATTATTTTGAAATAATAAAAACAAATTTGTTATGCTGGAAAAAATCTGGAAGAAAAGTTGACATAACAACGCACAATTTGGAAATTGTTGCTTAAAAAGAGCAAACAACAAAATACTACAAATTAGACAGTAACACGCGCAAATCTTGCAACGGAAATGACTCAAAATATCTAATAAATTTAGTCGTAAGCAACAATTTGCAAAATTAAACTAAAATGGAAAGAACCAAGAGAAAAATTACATACAAAAAACATGAAAAAAAATTACCTTGTGATTTGATCTGATTGACAAGCAACCAATTCAACAAAATAACCATTAAATAATTGATTCAAAGAACCAAATTAATGGCGATAGCTTAAGACATCAGTTCGGATAGATCTGAAGAAAAACGATGGAAGGAAAAATACAAATTGGAAATACATAAGAAAGTCCACAAATTGAAAGAAAATTTGAAAAAAGCAATATTAGTGAAACTTTAGAACCAAATTCTCATTTCCATATCCGCCAACCAAAAAATAATTCTATGAGGTAGTATTTGCTCAAACGATGCCATTCTTCACCATGCAAAACTAATGCAACAGTATATTTACTATTCTACCTCCGAAATTAGATTTTTTTACGAACACAGATATCGCAGTTATAAACGTTAAAATTGTGGAAAATAATTAATTACTTATTTATTTAAACAAAACACGTTATCCCAACAATCCCTCGATTTTAAATTTAAATTGTATTTAATAATACCCACAAAGTTCAATCGATAACGTTCGGACTCGTAATAAAAAAATATCAACGTTCAAATAATTTTAACAAAGGAACTATTAAGAGCTGGTAATTTAGAATTATTTCAGTTTTAACTCCATATTGAAAACAATCCAAATTGTAATTTTAGCATTTTCTTTTGAATTCATCAGACACCTAATTATTTAAATAATGCTTACAAAGAGAAACCCCTTTAGCGTTTTACTTAAATAGCCGAATAATGCGTTCAATTTCTACCGATTAATCTAAAAACTTATCGACCTCTCAACACCTCCAACCATAAACAATGATTAACTCTTCCAAAAGAAGTTTTTCTTGTAGAACTTTTGCGATTGGAAAATAGTCGGCACGCACCTTCAGTAAGTCCATGTTGGTCTTTTTAAAGAGCTTGCTCCTAAGGTGGAGTTTCATGCTTAAAAGACGATTTAATTAAATTATCTAGATTTTTTTGGAGTCATTTAAAAACTGCATTTGTATTCCTCTTGTGAGAAATTGAATACGTCGGCTCGAATGTTCTTCCTGAAAGCAAATTATGTGACCACATATTTTCCGTTTCAATAGTCTCAAAGCCATTATAATGAAATAACGTCGTTAACTTTCGACAACGCTGAGCATTCTTAAGAACGAAGAAAGTTAATTTACCCTACAGAGCACTAATATTGAGTTTTTTTTAATATAATAGAGCCAAATATTCGACCCTAAGGACCGATTCGACACAGATCATTGATGCGGACGGCCATTTGGCTTCGGGCGTTGCGTTTCCAAATTATTTCCATCACTTTCCGGCGAAATTTCGGGTCATTTAATCTAGTTTACAACTTGCTGCGCCGGAATTAGTTTCGCCAAAGGATACGACTTTGAACTATAATCATCATCCTTCGAAAGTGTACACTCTAAGCCATCTCTATCCGTCTTCTTATCTTAATTTATGTCTAATTTATCAATCACTTAATGTAATGCAAAGAGAAATTATTGGCGCTTTTGCTTCAGCATTCAGCAAACAAGTTGCCACAGTTTAATTGATTCGGGGAATTATGAATAAACAGGAATTTGTTTCAGGAAATTAGGTTGGCGATTAGGCCTGCAAGCAATCACCGGCCTACTATCATTGGCCTTTTTCCTGCCTATAGTCTACCGGTCAGCCAATCTCTACCATCCGCAAAGAAGAGCTATCACTCACTTGAAAAACCAAAGAAGAAAAATGAAAGAGAAGAAAAGCCATTCGAAGATTAAAAAAGCCCCTGTGTTCGATCTTAGCCCATTGAAAAGTCGAGGGCTCAGGGTTATAATGTTAGCATGCGGATTTGGAGCTTTGGGGATTTATGCTCCAGTTTTTTATTTGGTAGGTAGTGAGAAAGAAATTTATTCAGAAAACTTCGCTTTTTATTTATTCCAAAGTCGCGCAAAATGGTCATTTGACCCAGAAACTCCAACTGAACGACCGTTGATGATTTTTTAACAGAAATGGATTTATATCAGTGCGTTTTGGAATAATAATTGTATTTTGTACTGCAGTTTGAATATTTTTTAAATAGTACCCGAAACAAAGTCATGGTTTTACTATGAATTAAAACAGTCTCTGACGTGTTCTTAGTGTATTGAATTGGCATTTTGAAATTGAGCTGGGCTTTCAAACAATTAAGTTTTTCGAGCATTAAGACCATCGTGGAAAATAATTTCTTCCTGGCGTTTCGCTAGCACGAGTCCCTTGCATTTTCAGAGGTGGTTATGCATTCCATGAGCTAATGAAAAATGGGTAGTTCTATTTAAAAAAAATACACTTTGATCTTGCCTCGCTTTTCTGAGACACTCTGTATCATATAAGATATTTTTAAAATGTGCACACTTTGTGCGTCAACAACTTTTATATGAAATTATTTTTCTAAAGTTCAACACCATCGGAAATAATGGACTCTATCGCACCAAAAAACCACCTTGTATATCACGATAAATTTTTGCATTTTTTCAAAAATGTTTGATCATATCAAACAACCACTATTATTTTTTTTGTTCCTACACAGTTTACAAGGTTAGTCGTGAAATGCAATTTAAAACCGCTGTAAAAATTAATAATTGTATAAATCAAACACTTCTTAGGTTTACCAGGGTTATAGAGAAGGTCTAGAAGACAGTGCTCTGGTTCTTCTCCAGACATTTATGGGATTCGCTTCTGCATTAGGCTGTGTAGGCTTTGGCCTAATAACCGTTAGACCCAGCACTCAGTGCCTCATTTCTCGGCAATATTTGTGCCAAACTGCCCTAATAGGAATTGGTAAGTTAAGAAAAACGCCAATTTTCAAAAAATCTATTTGCTATTAGTTTTAAATTGTTGTAATTTTTCCAGGAATTTCTCTGCTAGCACTTAGCGCAGTCCAAGGATATCACGGTTACGTGCTCTTTGTCTGGCTGTACGGAATCTGCCTTGGCGGTTTCACATATTCATTGAAAATGTTCGCCTTAGAACGAATTAGAAATAAGCACTTTACCAAAGCGTGGAGCTTCATTCAAGGTGCCAAATCGATTCCTGTTCTATTAGGAATCCCGTTGACCGGTTATATCAATCAGACCTACCCCAAAGCTGGCTATTATTTTAGCTCGTGTTCAGCGCTAATCGGTAAGAAGTTATATATTTTTTCGACATATATTTGTTGATTGCAATTTCAGGGGCAACGTTGATGTTCCTAGTGGGCACTAGAAAGGAACCGCTAAACTTCCAAACCAGTCCCACGAATAACTGCAATTTGAACAATTGTGCAGTTACTAATATAAACGACTGCGTGTGCAGTGTGGGTGCCTACAATGGAATGTGTGCAGCTGATCCTGAATTACTTCAGTACAACTTTTGTAGACCAATAACGAATCACTACGAACGAATTTTTACCAATTATGATGACTTTCATAATAAGCCTAATTTAAACATCCCTCATAGGTGAGAATCTAACTTGATTTAAAAAGCTGAAACATCAGAATAGTCTTTTTTTAATTGATTATGTTAATTTAACGATCAAGATTGCATTTATCTCCTTGTTCACAGTTATGCACTATTCAGTATAGGTGTATGCAAATTGAAATACATCGTAAAAATAAGAGTATTGTATCGCATTTTAGGCATTCGTATCGTCAGAAACCCGAACACAGAATGCATTACTTACCAAAAAGTTTGAGCTACGCAGCAAACATCGACCATTCAGCATATCACACACCCAAACATCACGTTCCTATTAATCAACATGATCCAGGCCGATTCTCCTCACTTCCTAGAGCTCAACATCGAGGAATCCTTCGACCTAGTAAAAGCGTTCCAGAAGGATTATCCAGGTGGGACTACTGCGGTTCCTATCGCAGGCCTCTTGTAAGGAACGTTCAAGTAATTGAGCAAATAACGACTTCTGTGTAGGGTCAGTGTAGTAAAAGTCTAAATCAGGAACAGCAGGTTTTCGTTTATAATTGCGGCCCAATGCTTCATCCAAAAATTGGGTCTACGGATACTAAACGAAATTTAAACTTACAAAATAGTTTATCAACCAACATGCAATACAGTAATAAATTTTGTAACTGTACCAGCATTTTTACATATGCAAACTTAATTAAAAAAGATCTTAGAACAGTTTTTTCGACCTTTGTACAGATAGTTTCTAAATAAGCAATCGGACCAATCCATGTGTGACATCTTTAGCCAAATTGTAAAGTCTAGTAGACTGTAGTTGTATTACTTGTACAGAACAGTAAATAAGATTCATTGTTTCATACAACCAAAGACGTATTGTTAGATGATAGATGAAGAGTGCACAAAATAAATCAACATTTATAGTGTACAAGCGAGATTTTATCACAGTTTCCATTAGCTTTTACTTTTTTGCAAAAAAATTATTATTTTTTTTACGCAGTTAAGTTTATTATTAACGCCTGTTTAAATTTGTACATCTAGTTTTAAAACACCCATTTTTGTACTTTTTTATCGTACTTTGTAGTTTTTTATATTTAGTTTTCTTCAAAAGGCAAGATTGGTTTGAAAAAATCACTTCCAAAAGATTACTTTACGGTTTAAGCTTGTTATGAACCTACTGGAAATGTTTAATAATTTCTATAAAACCTTCACTTGTACTCGTATATTCCAAATTGTCCCAAATCAAAAAATCATCTAAGACTAAAAACTGCGCGCTAAACAGATGCAGTTTCTGTAGACGCACCTCTTGAAATAGTAATAATAATTAAATTGCCGCATCTGTTGAGCGCGCCGAGTAAAGTAGATGTTTACAACACATGAGATGTATTCGTGCATCAATTTAAGATACAGCAATATGCTAAGGTTGTGATAACTAACTTTATTAAGCTATACAGGTTGATTCAAAATTGTCGCCATTCCTTTTAAGGGGTAATAGGGGCTCACTTGGAGAGGACGCAAAAAATATTGAAATTTTTTTCAAAAGATATTAACAGTTGAAAATCGAATTTCAACTTTGTTATTAAGAATTATTTTACCACGTATGTAAGATACACAGAGCACAAGGATACATTAAACCAATGGCTTACTGAATACCGGTACAGATTGAACAGGAGTTAATTAACCGAATACGAGAAGGTGGTTACACAGGTACTAACTTGTTTGGAGTTTTAGACAGAAATGTATATTAATTTGTATACACATCAATTCGAGGTTAAGATAACAATGAAGAACAAGATCTCGTTGTCAATATTGACATTTCGAAAAAGTACCTTCCACATTTAACGAATCCTGTTGAATTTACCTTTTATTCTTTCTCGTTTATTGTCACTTCTTCAATAGATGATTTTTCATCACCCTTCGATTTCAGAAGTTTTCTATTCTTCCATGATTACCAGAGTTTTTAATAATTACGAAGCACCAGGTACGTATGTAATGTTAATTAGGCAGATTATTTTGAACATTGTTGTCGTCTTTATGATATAGTTTTTTGCAAATTGCTGTTTTTAATAAAAATTTATTTTTTTACTATTTTTTCTGTACTCCTATGACACCCCCAGACAACATCTGTAGAGGAATCACGCCAATTTTGAATCACCCTGTATAGGGAGCAAACATATTTAAAAATCTTATTAAGACTACATTTAAATTCCTGAAAGATGAAAAACAAATTGCTAAAAATAATTTGTCATAAACTGATAAGTGAATGGTAAAACATTATCACAGGAGGCTAGAATAATTAATCGCAAATAGCGTTTGCCAATTGTTTTGGAAAAAAGTACTATTTGTTATATTAATTACTTCAAACATTATTAATAGCTAATTATCATGATCTAGAAAACAGTAGAAAAAATTATTGCAAATCTGCATCCTAAAATGTTCAGGTAATTTTTTACTCAAGACTTAAACTAGTAGCATTAAGTTCAATTGTGAAGAAAAAAAGCCAAATGATAGGTTAAGAAAAAAATGTTAGACTTAAAAAAAACTCCTGTACAATTTTAAACGAATTGCGTAAAATATCTAAATAGTGTATATATAAAAAATATAGCTTAGGCGTTTCGTGATTCTAAAGTAAATATATCAGAAACTATTGTTTAAGAAATATTTATTGTTGTATTTTATTTGTTATCATCTTTATTTCTCGTTTTATTGTCAAAAATATATCTAGATATTCCTTATGTAGCTTTCTATGGTAATCTGACATCTTAGAATGAAAACCCGGAGTTGTGAAAATAGATAGGTATAGAAATGTATAAGAATTCAGGCAATGATTTTTTTATAAAAATAATTCGACTATTACTTTTCTATCTCCACCCTTTAACACTCTCAAAATTGATTTAGTTCTGTTATTTAAAAAAAATTAAATTGCTCATGTACATTAAAATTGATACATTTATCAATACTTTTTTGTGTCATTAATCTGAAAAACTGCATTATGTATTGTATGCCAGACTAATTTATTGTGTTTTTTTAGTGTCACGACTTTTATTTTCTGAAGGCGTAGATCCCTTGCAAAACAAGTCTATGCATCAATTGAAACCAACCACAAATTCGAATAGTTCTCTATTTATTTTAATAATTTATAAACTAACAACCTTAAAAAATGTATCGTGCCACTTTCCTGCAATTCTGTGCATTTTTCACTTACAAAACCACAGCCATACTGTTGTATATAATTACAAAACCTATCGTTCACAGTTGAAATAACTTTTGCAATAAACTGTTGATCCTGTAAAAGAGAAATATGGTTTTCGCCAATGATAAAAAGCGTTTCGAAAAAATATTCCAGTCCTTTTAACTTAAGAAAGTTACTTGATTCTAATATCTGCTGGCAGATATCAAGTACTGTTTGACTCGCATATATATCAGTTCTGATTTTAGCGATATTTAAAAGTATTCTGACTACTTTCGGTAGTGCAAGAGCCGAATCACTTGAACTGCAAATATCAGTCACGTAAACACCTAGTTGAACCAGAAAAGAAAAATTTTCGGTCAGCATTTTAACACCTAACGGTATTTTACAAATCGCATCCATTATATCCAAGACCAACAATCTACAATCCGCATCCGACACGCAACTGGAATAAAGCTCCGAAAACAATTTATAGGCCATGGATCTGAGAAAGTCCAGGAAATCTTTATCCGTTCGCATGCCATCCCTGAGAATTTTCAAAATAAATTTCCTGTGGTCGGCGAAGTTAACTTCAGAACTGAACAGTAAAGTGTATAGTTCGGGAATAGTACTTAAATCTAAATCCTGCTTAGCTGTTAGGTATAAGGATAGGGGCGAGAACATAATATGTTTGGGGTTTGTTAAAATAAGAGCCATGCGGGCGAAAAAAATGGCTGAGAAGGTATTCAGTTTGAAATTGGGTAAATTAGCTGCACCTGAAACAAACCGAAATTATGAATGAATTAGCAGCCTGATTGTGCACAGAAAGAAAAAACTCAATATGGTAAAAAACTACTTAAAGAGCAACAAAGTAAAAAATAGACTCACCTTTACACAATGCTTCGACAAATCTTATCCACAACATATTGTCTTTGCCCACTTGCCTTCCTTCCAAGTGAAAGTGCAGTCTCGCTAAAACATGGCTGGCGGCCTGACGAACTTCTTTATCTTGACATCCTAGACCCAAAACGGTCAGACTTAAAGCACCACTCCTGAAGGCAAAAATACACAATCAAATATACTGAAAACATTTCAGAAAGTGTTAGTTTTTACCTGATGAAAACATAAGTCCTAATTTGCTGCTCTGGAGCCAAGATGTGACTGAACAATGGCAAGAAAAATTTCAAGTCATAACAGTTGAACTCTTTGGAAAGCTCCTGAACGTTATGGCGCAAACAGTCTTCCAAGGGATATGTTGTTATGGTGGAATTGACTAAGTCTTCTCTAAGAATTTCTGGAATCAAAACAATAGAATTAGAAAGCTGTTCCAACGGGTTGAGTAAGCTCAATGTAAAAAAGAACATTTTTCTGAGGTGATTTAACGGAAAATATCTTGTAAATATATCGGAGATATTTTGCATGCCTACATTTACTGAAATTTGTATTCCAGCTATTCGGATAGCCGCAGGAAAATATTTATATTTAAATGAAGTCCACGGAACTCACAAGTTTGCAGTACGTTTGGCAAAAAATATTTAAATCATCAAAAAAAAATGTGAAAATGGGTTTACATTGCCAACTTTATTTTTCATTAAAAAAATCGTAACTTTCTCAAGCAGAAAATGTGCCTGTCTTTTCGTAACATTTATTATATAAAATCATGCCAGGCAACATCCAGACGCACTGTAAGCAGGCCCTGAATTATTGTTTTCCCCCAACACAATTGTTTCCCAAAAGTTCAATTGTTTCTATTTTAATTTTTGTTTTCAAATTTTATTTCCTTACATTATTACACGTACAAACCTGACCTTTAAATATTAAATAATATAATATAAATATACTAAATCCTATTGCATCTGTATTAAATACTTTACAAATGGATCGGTAGATTTTTTACTTATTCATTTCCTTAACATAAATTGCTACATTTTATGATATATTTACTCTACACAGTAACTTTCATAAAGATGGTCCAATTAATTCACCCAATCAGCACAAATTATAGCAACATGCTGGAACATTAGGTCGTGGAATAAGAGAGACCAAGCGAGTACTTGAAATAAATACACACAAAAATCGAAATATACACACTCCCAGAAACCAGAAAGAGAGGAAAAGGAACAACAGAACACCAAAATCTTCTGCTTAGATATAGCGGAAAGGACAAAGGCGATTATCTGAGCTCGGGAGTGGGATTTTTGCTCCATGATTAGTTTGCAAAACAAGAGCCACCAATTCACCAGCCACCGAATCCTAAAGACAACGTTAAACCTAGCAAGCAGCAAACTTCATATTGTATATACTCCTGAAGTCCTGACATAAGCAAACGGAAGATTCCTATAACACCTTACAAGACGTCCTGAACAAGATACAGAGGAACGAAACACTCGCAATATTTGGAGACTTTAATGCGAGAGTGGGAAATAATAACATAGACAACATCGAAAAACGATTCAATACTCTCAAATATGACGAAAAGTTAAACATAGTTTTTAGAAGACCAAACTACGAAGTGGCTTTACAAAAACCAACTAGAAAGATTCAAGATAAATCCACTAAAAAGAGGAAATGTAATCGAACTCTGCACAAGAATAGAATCGAACATAATACAGGCTGCAAAGGAAAGTATAGGAGTTGGAAACATTTACTTAACTGCAACCAAAGTATCAAATCCATGGTTTACTAACGAAATAAGAGATTTAGCGTACGAAAAAAGAAAAGCATATCTACAATATTGTAGTAATAAGACGCCTAACAATTATGAGCAATACAAAGATACAAGAAACCATGTAAACTCTAAGATAAGAAACCTGAAAAAAGAATATTGGACACGATTTACCCAAGAGATGGAACACGAGGTTTATGGAGCACAACGCAAAGTGGGGAAAATGCATAAAGGGAGAAAACAACATAATAATGAATATAACAACTTGAATAAAATAGAAGCGGAACAATGAACAGCTTACATCAACGAACTCTACTAACGAGGGGAATAATGAACATGCAATAGACGGGGAAGAAGGAGAGAAAAATAAAGAGGGCAACAACAAACAAATCATAGAAAAGTTCCTAGCACCTAACTCAGGAATACCACAGAAAAATAAAAAAAAAACAGAAAAGAGCTCCTAAAATATGGAGGAGAAATAATAATTGAAAATATTGCTGTACTTTTTAAGAAAATTTTAGATATGAATATACATAAAAGCAAATAAGAAGAATCCAAAGCAACCACCGTACGATCACCTTGCTTAATACAATACTAAAATTGCTAACGAAGATAGTTGCCAATAAGATCACTAAATAATATATAATAAGTGAAGAACAACAAGGGTTCCGGTCAAAATAGGTCAACAATAGATGCGATTTTCACAGTCAGACAAATTGCTGAAAAAGCAATTGAATATAACAATCCTGCTTATAGGTGCTTCGTGGAGCTAACTAAAGCCTTTGATCGCGACAGATTAGGAGAAGAAAATCAGCCCAGCAGTTTAGTAGAGGTAATAAAAGACATCAACACAGACAACAAAACTAAAATTAAAATCGAGTATGAATTGGCATCGGAACTAGACTTTAAATTTTGAATACGTCAGGGAGATAGCCTAAGCCCACTATTAATCAATTTATTAAAGGACAAAATTATAGGAGAGACAAAAAAAGGTTGGACCGGGTATGGGCTTGGAAAAAAAACATGAAAATTATTTGTTATGCAAATCTGATCTCGGATAATGAAGATAACCTACAGCGCTTGAGGCATACCTTTAAAACAACGGCAGAAACCCACAATATGCAGATATCAACATCTAAGTATCGCTCGTAGTAGCAAGGGAACCCAGACGATGCAAAATCGTAATTAACGCAGAGATAATCGAACAAGTTTCTAAGTTCGAATATCTGGGGATATCCAGCTACGGAGATCTAAAAGGATGTGTACGAAAGCAGGCTAATAAAGCAGCTTATGTATCAGGCTTAAGTTTAAGGAATAAATATATCAGTATGGACGGAAAAATACACATATATAAGTCATGTATAAGGCCAATACTAACATATTCAATAGACACAGAAGAGAAGAGAGCTGAAACAGTAGAAACAAAAATAATAGCTAAAACAGAAATGAAAAATTGAAATCAATAACGGGCAAAACATTGAGAGACAGAGTCCCGAACATTTAAATAAGAGAATTATATCGGACACAGGATATCGTACAATGGGGAAGACAGAGGAATCAAGAGTGGAACCAGCATGTTATACGAATGGACGGTGAGAGACTAGCCCGAATATCGAGGACCAACAGGACGGCCCTTAACGTCACAAATACGACTGCAGCAATAGACAAAAGAGATTGGAAAAGAACAGGCTCAAGACCTAATATAATAAGAAGCACAAAATTCACATTTCCTTTCATATTGTCCAACATTTCTCAAGTTGATAAATTCTGTTAAATTTTCTTTAAACCCATACCAAAAGGCGCGAACAAGATGACCATGAGAGAATGCTTTCACTTGTAAAAGATTTATTTCATTCAATCCTTTCATCTTCCATCGTCACATTGTCATTATCATTTCGTTAATGATTATGGAAATGTTTCGTAATATTTCAATAACAATACTCTTAGTTTTATGGAAGAAGACATGGCGTGGATGAACTAGTTTCCATGCGATGTCTTCTTCCATTAATTAATTGAATTCTATTAGTTCAAATTGTGAATTGATGTAGTTAGTGGATGTTTCAAGTGATTATGAATTAATTGCAATGTTTGTCAAAAATATTTACTTGAATCACTCGAATTGCCGCACTTATTTTTAATAAAAAATGTATATGTAGATATCAAACTTTCTCAAGTAGAAAATGTGTGAAAAAGTCTTAGAAAAATTTGTAAATTAGCTGCTGAAATGATTAAGTATTCCAAAATTCTGTCGACGGACCAGAGTTTAAAAATTCTTGAATAACAAGTCAATTATTAATTGATATTCGAGAAATAAACAATTATATTAAATATAATGACGCTGACTTTTTTCAATCGCCCGGATTAGCTCACGTTTCTGATTATTTGGACACCTTAACAACGCCAGTAATATTACAATGTGATACTGAATGCTGATTTCTTTATAAGCGAGTTTTGCAATGGAAATCGGCCGACCATCAGCCGAAACTAGACCAATTATAATTGATGTCGATACTTTTATCAGACCTTTGCAATAATTTTTTTTTTTAATTACTTACCTAATACATCTGACGTCTTTGGTTGTCTCATCAGCGAACTGGCTATCTGAGTTCTAACCGAGTAATGGGTAGCCGCTAATCTCCCACATAAAAATGGCTTAAAATCGTAGAAACGGGTTTGCTCTGGCTTCGATTCATATCTGCAAAGTCAATTTTTATATGATATAAACGAATTAAAATTATATTGGACTTTTTTGAAAAAGCTTCCTGAATAAAACAATTTAACCAAGCAAATTTGGCTAAAATTAACTTAAAAAATGTATAAAATACTTACAGAGTCAGCAATGCCAGCACAATTCTATCGCACCGCGTCACCATTCCTCTATACGCCGATAGTAAAACTGGTACATGATTTCTTTCCATTATTTCGTTCCATTGGTCACACAAAATGAAAATCAGCGTTAAAAGTTCCAGTTTGGTTTCACTGTGTTCTCCCAAAGCAACGTTCAGAAACTCCGAGTGGGACAATAACATGTCCAAAAAAATTGCTGCGTCATCTTTACTTAAATTGCTTGATAGAGTTTTAATAAGTTTGCCCAGAAGCCGGAGTAATATGAATTGGCCAGATAGTCCATACTTCAGGGAGAATTTGCAGAAGGTTTTGAAGCTATCATTGATTGCAAATTGGAAAGTCGAATTCTTCAAAACCAGCTTATCCATAATTCTCATAAATATATCAGATAGCTTATTAACTTTGTTTATTTCCTCCTCTGTCTCGATTGCTCTCTTGAGTACAGAAATTTCCAAATGGACAAAAGTCATTATAATATTGTTAATCTTCTTTTCACTGATATCGTTTTCTATTGTCTTGTTGTAACAGGCTTCGAGCAACTTGGCGTGGAAAATCTCAGCAACTTCAAACTTCTGAACTTTGTCAGCAAAACTCGCACACTTCTCTACAGGCATAAACTTCTCCACCAAAATGGCAATGTCGTAATCCTTTAAAAAATGCTGACCGACTTTCTGTGGCTTCTGGATGGCTTTTATTAATGAAGACTCCATGTTTTCATAGATTTTTTGCAGAATTTCTTCAGGAGCACTATTATTAGCCAAAATATGTACTATTGGTAGTATTAGTCCTTTTTTCTCGCAAATAGTTGACACATTCTCTTCCAACTCGCTGACTAGCTTCAAATTTGTCTCCAACAAAAACACTGCCAGATCAACGCTTTCTTTATTGTATTCAGACATAGTTAAAATGCTCGAAAACAAGTGTTTATCAACATCTGATATGTTGTGTGGAAATATCGCGAAATAACTTCTTAAATTGGTAGCGAAGGCACTGCTGTTCAGATTTTCTTTGTTAAAACCTACTAATAGTGCAGTCAGATTTAATACCACCTTTTTATCAAAAGGAGCTAATTCTGGATGCACCTTAACGAGCTCTAATATTCGGCTCAAGCTGTAGTTAAGTATATTAGATACAGGAGAACTTTCACCACTTATATACTTGTCAAATGGTAGCTGGCAGATCTGCTCGACTATTTTAGCAGCTTGTGGGTAATCAAGAGGAAACACTTGCAAAAAGTCTTTGATATTGAGACTAACATTATACTTGGATGGATTTTTTAGGATTTTTCCGATATTCTGATAGATCCTACCAGAGTAAAAGGGTTTGTATTGATCCAAATCGACCCCAACTTCCTGCAATTTTTTAACAACTACTAAAAGCGATTTAGTCCATACATGGTTCTGACTGGCTAGGAAATCAAAATGCTTAATCAAACACGGATTCGATAGAATCAAATCTAGGCATGATTGTTCCAATAGATTTACATGGTCTTTCACAATACAGTCCACTACCGTTATCCAATTAGTAGCAATATCTTCTGAAAGTGATTTGTTTGAAACTAAGTTAGCCACATAAAAAGTCGTCATTCTTAATATATCAACTAGTAAATCTGGATAACCATTACTCTCGAGCATTTCTAAGGTTATCAGTTTGTTCAGGAAATTATCGCCAATATCTTTAAACACCGTTAAAGATCCTTTGACTTTGGCTAAATGGACAAATTGATGTTGAGACCAATTCGTTATGTAATTGAACACATTTGAAGGGATCACATCCGAGTACGTTTGAATTACGGATACGAACTTTTGAATCCTAGTTTGGCTGTGAAAAAGATTCAACAAAACAAGTTCAGCGTACTTTTTTATGCTCTTCGATCTCGAGTTTGGCAGATATTTTAAAAGCCCTAAAACTGCAACAGATGACGTTCTATGTTTTATTTTCCTTGGAGAATAATCGACGAACTCCGACATATTCATTAGAGTCTCGATTACATTCTCGTTTTCATTCACTAATCCTTCATCCTCTGCCATTTGAGACAACTCTTTTTGGAAATCCAATAGATTAGCATTCGCGTCCTTGAAAAATTCTACAAAATCTTCGGCGAAACTTTCCACAAATGTATCGAAGTTGAAAATTCCATTAAGCCAAATATTTATTTCGTACAGACCGCTGTCAAAAATGCCGGTATTTCGAAGAAGCTTGCTCAGAACGTTTTGAACAGTGCTCTCCTTTCTGGCATGGAAGTTTTTCAGTAATATTGGCACAATATAAGCGAAGACATCAGTGTTGGGTAAGAAAAGTGCTTGCTCGCTGTCGACGAAGATCTCAACGAGCTTGATTTGCAACATTTCAATTGAATCAGACTGTTCCTCGAAGTTGTCAGCCAGGTTGAATAAGAAGTTTTTAAAATCGAAACTTCTTGCAGTCAGATTTGACAAACATTGAGGCGCTAATGTTTTATAGAAGTTAAGTATATCAAGTATTACTTCCAAATTATCTCGCTTTTCAGATTCTGTCGACTGTTCCTGTTCTGTACTTACGTCGACAGTTTTCCACTCTTCAAGTAGATCTTCTGCTTTCGGATAATGTTTGCTAATGTAGTTCGATAAATTATTCGCAACTTTCGTGTGACTTTCTCTGCCAGTCCAATTCTTTGCTAGATCTAGAAATTCAAGCATTTTTTCCAGCATATGACGCAGTAATTTTATTATATGGACTTTGACGCCTTTATTTTCAATGGGTTTAGCATCAATCAGACCGCTCAAAATGGCAGATGGGGATACTAACACTTCTATAACTTGCGCCAACTGCACAAAAAGATAATTAAAAGTTAAATTACGGAATTAGTAAATAAACTGAAGAATTATCATACCTGTTGAGCAGACAAATCTTTGGCGCAATATTCGATACAAGACGGTTTCATCTCGTCGATTAATCTTTTGGTAAAACTCATGGCGTTTAGCCATTTTTCGGTCAATCTTGGTTCCAAAAACGGTTTTAGAGTAATCCACATCACTTTTGTCAAGTCTGGGCAAGATCTGATAAAATTAAATAAGAGTCAATTGCTGTTCACCAAATAAAAGGAACAATTTAAAAAACCGGTGAAAATACTTACCGACATATTTTTATAACCAGATCGCTAGCATATGAATGTTCCCAGGGCCTATCTAAGCTATCTAACACAGTAAACATTAATCCATTCACATGCTTTTTACCCAGTCCCACTAGGGGATCACTGAATATTAAGCCGAATTTATATGAGGTACACAAAACCAATAGAAAATCATGAAGACATTCACTAACTTTCGATTTTGCTATTTTGTCCACCTGAAATAAAACCACACAATTGTATCAAACGGTATGACAAAGTTAAAACTACAAACAAAATTAACCAGTTTAAAAATTAAATATTGAGATGGTTAATAAATTGTTATTGAATTTATAATTAAAATCAAGTCCTGGGTTCTTCAGTCATTTATTTATTGTTCATTTATCAATTTAAAAAAACGTTTCGGTGTTTTCCACCATCATCAGTTTTACTAAAATAACAGGTAGTCAAAAAAAATAAAAAATTTTAAATGTTCTCATTAATCATTGCAACATTTTAAAATATTCTGAGATTAATTGGTCTTAACAGGTGATTAGCTAGGACAATCAATTCTGGGAAGAGACTAGAATTCTTTGTTCAAATGTTCAATTATTTTTACTTACATGTGTAGCGTTGTTGCTACTTTACGCCTTGGCATGTATTTGGAGTATTAATTTTGTCCATTTTGCAACACAAAGCGAAATACTGTTTATATTGATTTCTTTTACTTTCAGGTATTTTTCTTTGCATT